TTTTTTTTTTTTTTTTTTTTTTTTTTTTTTTACTTAGCCACTGCCTCAGTCAGCAGCTTTTTCATCATCATACATATATATTTTTTTGGTGTGTGTGTAAAAAATAGACAGTACAATTTCTTATCCTTGCCTTAAGGAAAAACTAATGAAAGCATCATGCTGTATTTTTAGTTACTAGAGACTGGACTATCCCAGTACTGGGGCAAAGTAGCACAAAATTACTAATATCCATCTATAAATTTGGCATTATATAATAGTTCAAACAACTAGCAAAATTCTAAGGGATCAAGTCTGTCAACGGAAAGTGGAACTTGTGTGTGTGTGTCTAAGAGTATGCCTATACATGTTTTGTTGATTGAATTGAGTATCCTTGACATGGAAGAACTTTAGCTGGTGATTCAGGCTAACAGGATCCTGTTAGAATCTGGGCAAGCCTAACTGGGACTAGTAGCAGAAGACGGCATTGTGGTAACAACACCTTAAATCTACCCCCAGTTGAAAATCTTGGTATAGTACACTATAAGACTTTGCTAGCCTTTGAGGTAAAATCTTGTTAAACATATACTGGATGGTATGTATTTTCAGCTTCCCAAGGCCAACCCTTGAAAAAAAGCAATAAATATATCAGGTTTTTCTTGCCCAGTACTTTATTAGGATTAGTTTTTCACTTGTTTCAGATATTACAATCTTTTAAATGTAAGTCCATTTTGCAAATTTTGAACCTACAAAAAAATTAGAGTTATTATACAATGAACATGTTTATTTTCCTCTATTTGCCAATTTTTAACACATTGCATTCCCCCCATATAATTTTTTGGGGAAACATCTTTGAAAGTAGGTTGCAGACATCATAAACTTAACTGCTATTTTTTTTTAAAGAGAGAGAGAGAGAGAGAGAGAGAGAGAGAGAGAGAGAGAATTTTATTAATATTTATTTTTCAGTTTTCGATGGACACAGCATCTTTATTTTTATGTGGTGCTGAGGATCGAACCCAGCGCCCCGCGCATGCCAGGCTAGCGCGTTACCGCTTGAGCCACATCCCCAGCCCTTCACTGCTAAATTTTAAGAATATATGAATTTGTCTCTCCAAAGTACATTTTTCTAAATATCTGTAATAATGTTTTAGTTGTAGAAATTATCATTAATTCATAATATAATTTAATGTAGTCTATAAAAATTTAGTGAAATCTATAAAATTTCTCCATTTGTAAAAGCTTATTTTTTTTATTTGTTTGTTGTATGTCTTTTAGTGTCTTAATTTATAACAGGCTCCTGCATGCCCACTACTGACTTTTTCTATTTTTTAATGACATGCTTTTTTTTTTTTCTTTCTTGTGTTTAGGTCAGTGATCTATAGATTGTTCCTCATTCTCAGTATGTCTGAGTGTTTACTCATGGTTACATTCAGTTATTATATTTRGCAAGAATATTACATAGGTGAAACTGGACATTTCTTTCTGTACTACACCAGGAGGCATATAAATCAGGCTGCCTTAAAACAAGTGCAGAATTTGATCACTTGGTCAATGAAGTGACAATCACTATATCTCTTTGGTCTGACGGTATCTTTTCCTTTATAATTAGTAAGTAATCTGTAGGATGGTACTATGAATATCGTGTTCCCTCATGACTTTTACCTGATAGTTTCAGCACTCATTGATGATCTTTGCTTAAATTAGTTTGTATATATGGGGGTTGTAAAATGAAAATTTTAATTATGTCAACCTTTCACATTTATTGACTGATTTTTTATAGCTGTTAAAATTCCCTGACTTAAGGTAAAAACTAATTAAAGTTGAAATCAGAGCTATTATGTCAGTCTAGGTAGGTTGTCCTTACCTGTCCTACCTCCCAGTTTATATTTCTGTTTTACTATTTAACTAGTATTTCCAATGAAATAGTTAAAACTATTGCCTAATTTAAGTTTTGGATTTTCTTAAAAAACTATCCATAGTGTTTTTATATATTTCAATGTATTGCATTGCCCAGTCTATTATTACTTAGGGACTTTTCAATGCATTCTCTCATACACATTTTGGTGTTTTTTTTTTTGTTGTTGTTGTTAGCTCTCTTAGTTTTTGTTACCAGATTGGATTATAAACTATGTTCATGAACCTAGGATGATCTTTTTTTTTAATATTTATTTTTTAGTTGTAGTTGGACATAATACCTTTATTTCACTTATTTACCTTTATGTGGTGCTGAGGATCGAACCCAGGGTCTTGCACGTGTGAGGCGAGCGCTCTACCGCTGAGCCACAACCCCAACCCTAGGATAATCTTAACAAGAAAAAAGTATATWGAATTTTGAGAGAGTGGAATAAACATTTAAGTGACTTAAGTTGAATAGTTAGTTGAAAACAGTAACCATTCAGTTAAAGGATAAATTTATCAATCTAATTATGAAGGGAAGACAAGTGATAGAGTAGTCGTTAGTTTGTAAAGCATTCACTTGGATTATACATTGTGTAAATTCAAACTTAAATCTTTTTTTTTTTTTTCAACTCAATCTACTTTTACCATCCCACAGAACATGTTTTTAGGTAATGTTACCTTGAGGCTCTTTGTTGTTCACAGAAGTTCAAGCCAAAAATAATATATTAGCCTAGCAAAATGATATATTAGCCTGGAGAAGTTTTGTGCATTTGTAGTATTAATGTATACTGAATTTAATGTATCTGAAAAGAATGTTACACAAAATGGGTAAATTTTATTCTTTCTTTTTTTTTTGGTACTGAGGATTGAACTCAGTGGCACTCGACCACTGAGCCACATCCCCAACTCTTTTTTATTTAGAGATAGGGTCTCAGTAAGTTGCGTAGTTCCTTGCTTTGGCTGAGGCTGGCTTTGAACTCAGGATCCTTCAGCGTCAGCCTCCTGAGCTGCTGGGATTACTGGAATGCACCAGTAGTAAATTCCATTTTTTAGATGCTCTCTCTATATATTTAAAATGGGAAAGGTTAGGAAAGTTAAATCTAGAATAAAAAGTAGTTGTCATCCTGTTTTAGAATTAATAAATTACCCATATGACAAAAAGCTGGAGACCAGTGGTTTTTATTAAGGGAGGAATCTTCCAGGTTTTCCAGTAGAATGTCTTTCTCATAGGTGCTCAGTTAGCACTTATGACTTTTATTATGATAGTTTTTCACTTCTAGATAATTGGATATATTTAAACATTTAATAGTAACAATATTTCTTTTTTGCATTTTAGATTATCCCCATAAGTATGGTCCACAGGGGGGCTGTGCAGATCATTCAGTATTTGAAAGGATGAAGAAGTACCAGATGACTGGCGTAGAGGAAGTAACACAGGTAAGGATTTTAACATTAGTTTGCATTTAAGAAATAAAAGTGAACTTGGACACTTGTTTCTTCATTTAAGAATGTATTTTTTAGAATTTCTGAAAGATCCTGGTCTTCACCATATAATTGGCAAAACATTGATATTTTTTGTTTGAAGAGGTCAGATAACTTAAAGAGGTAGTGCTAAGATTTGAGAACAATTCTCTATGACTCAAAAAACATTATATTCTGTGTCCAAAATATGTTGTTTTACATGTTTCATCATATTTTTTTTTTAAAGTTGAATCTGAAGTTGTATTTTATATAAATGTAAGTATTTGTATTTGGGTTARAATCTGTACTTTAAGAGTACAGATTTTCCCTTTATTTGCCCTGATTTGCCTACGTGTCCTCCAGTTTTATCATTGAAAGTCCTGTGTTCCTRGACAAAACATGATGCTTGTTCACCCTTATAAAAATCTCAATGCTTTTGATATTTTAATTGTAAGGTTTTTGTTTATTTATTTATTTTTTGCCATTTGGGTGTTGTTTTTTTATTTTTMTTTTTGGCCTTTTTCTTTAGTAATAGTGACAAATTTATAGTTGTCAAAACAAGTTGAAAATGTAAAAAACGTTTTCTTTTGTGATAAAACATGATTTGGACATATTTTCTAWAAGTGGTAGCATATAATAATGTTTCTTGAGCTATGTGGATTTATATTCAGATCTATTACTTGATCTGCAATGGCATATGCATTTCTGTTTCAGGTGAAAGAATATTACATGAGATTTTATTCTGTATTCACTGGACAGATATACTATATATCATAGAGTGTAGTAAATTCTAGGAATATGAGGAAAGTAAGATAAAGGCCTGTTCTCCAGAAAGCTTAAAGTTTAGAGATACAGAGAAACGCTTGAGGGGTATAAGAGACAGAAGAGGATTAAGTACAAGATAATGCTCCACACATAAGAGAACAGGTAACTTATTTTTGGGTATATTTGAGGTCATTAATCAGAAACTAATAGAATAAGCAGGGGTTGGTTTAGTCATGGGGAGMTAGAATATTTCAGGCAGAAGGAATAGTACATTAAAAAGGGCCAGAGAAGCAGGAAGATCAGTAAAGAATCTTTAACTTAAGGGGAGAATCCAAGTCTAGAGTTTAAGAAATTAATTAGAAATTGTTTAAGTTATTCAGTTGATAGTGACTTGTGCTAAGGTATCAGCAATATGGAAAGAGAAGATAAGACTCAGAAGAATTTAGCAGAATGGCTTGATATAACATTCATATACAAAAGTAGGTCACATTTATTTATATTAGCAGTAGACTACCAGGAATATAATGAAAGAAGGGACATTTTAATAGTAATATCATGTATTGCTGAATAAATGTAAAAAATTATAAGGTGTATATAATAAAAATCATAAAACTTTATAAAGAAATATTAAAAGAAGATTAGTTTTAAATAAATGGAGGAATGTACCATGTTAATGGAAAATGCAAGTGTGATATAAATTACAATTTGTGAATCTAAAACATTACATGGAAAAGTAAGTACTGAGAAGAAGTAGGGACCTATGTAAAGGTGGTGAGCAGGAAAGAGGAATTTACTCTGGCAGATATTAAGGCTTATTATGGTAATTAAAGTGTGTGATATTAGAAGAGATTAACAAAGTAGCTAGAACAGAATTGAGGGCTTAGAAACAAACCCATACATTTATTAAACTTTGTTATGTTGTTGATCTGTATCAAATTAAGAAATGTAGTAAGCAATTTGAGTGAAGCCAGAAAAGATGTATATTCTTTTGGAAAAAGGTGAAGTTGGATCTCTATCTCATGTTATATTTAAAAACAAAAGTCCAGAGGGATTAAAGCATTGCATATCTAACATGAAAACTTTGAAACTCTTTAAGAGTACAGATTTCCCTTTCCAGCTGTGATAGAATATCTGGTGTCCAACTGGGCCTCCTGTGATATTATTACTAGAAAACTGAACAAAMTACAGTATGTGAAATGGTTGTTTTCAAACACTGGAGAATAGGCAATGCAGGATTGAGATCTTTGAGAATTTAACTGAATACTAAACTGTTCCTGCACAGGGTGAGATTCTGTGAGGAAACTACTAAAAAAAAGGACTGGGGGGGAATCTAATCAAACCATTATCAAAAATTACACTTGGAAGAGAAACTAAGCCATGAAAGGAATAGGGCTAATCTAATCCTAAAGTAAAGGCTATTTCAAACCTGCCTTAACTGAACAGAAAAATAAGCCTAAAAAAAAAGTCAAGGTTATTTTCAAATCAATTAGCTGCCAGTCAAGGGGAAGAAAAAGCTCAGTAAACTTGTTATAGGAACACAGTAAATCCAGATACTCAATGATGCATCATTCACAACATCCCAGCATTCAAAGAATATTCTCAGTTGACAAGAAACTAAAAAAATGTGATCCATAAACAGGAGAAAAACCACTCAGATAGAAACAGAACCAAAAATTATAGGAATTAGCAGAGAAGGACTTTGCAACAACTACTGTTAATATGTTCAAAGAATTAAAGCTGTGAGCACAAAAAGGAGAGAACAGAAATTATGATTTTTTTTTTCTCCTTTTTGTAGTGCTGGGGGACTGAACCCAGAGCTTTATACATACTAGTCAAGCTCCTTACCACTGAGCTACATCCCTAGCCTTTATAAGTTATATAAAGAACCAAAAGGAACTTTTAAAACTAAAAGTACATTATCTGAAGTGAAAATTTTAATGGATAGGTTAAGAGCAAATTAATTAGCATAGAAGTCAATAAGAGTACACTTGATGGGAGGACAATAGAACAATAGAAATTATTCAGATCTAAGCATAGAGAGTAAATAATTGGAATCCAAGATGCAGAAAGAATATATAAAAATTAATAGTCTTCAAACTTTTCATATATGAAGAAAAATTTCAACCCATGGTCCAAGAAGCTCAATGAAACTCAAGCAAGATAAACACAAAGACATGCCAGGTTATATAACAATTAAATTATTGGAAACATCTGAAAATGAGAAAATTCAGTAAAGTAGCTAGAGAAAAGAAAATGCATTTACATGTGGGAAAGAAATAAGTATAATTATGGACTTCTCCACACAGTACAAGTCAGAAGACATAGAGTGCTGAAAGAAAATCCCTTATTGTATAGTCTATGAAAATAAATTTCAGAAGTGAGGGCAAATTAAAGATCTTTTTAGGCTGGGAACAGTGTTGCCAGTCTTTAGTCCTGTCTACTCAGGAGGCTGAGAAAGGAGGCTCCTTTGAGTTCAGCAGTTCAAGGCCTATGTAACAATAATATCAAACTTTTCATTTTATTTATTTATTTATTGTTTTATTGTTTTTGTGGTGCTGGGGGTTGAACCCAGGGCCTTGTGCATGCAAGGCAAGCACTCTACCAACTGAGCTATATCCCCAGCCCAAAAAACTTTTTAGACAAACAAAACCTGGGAGAGGGGCTGGGGCTATAGCTCAGTGGCAGAACGCTTGCCTAGCATGGGTGAGGTACTGAGTTTGATCCTTAGCACCACATAAAAATAAATAAAATAAAGGCATTCTCTCCATCTACAACTACAAAAAAAGTTAAAAAAAAAAAAAAAGAATCCTCCCAGGGTTTTTTTTTTTTTTTTTTAAAGAAATCTGTACCTTAAGAAATCTTAAAGGATATTTTTCAGGTAGAAAAAGGATACCAGATGGAAATTCAGTCCTAAACAAAAGAGCAAAGAGCATAAAATAATAAATATGTAGGTAAATATAAAAGCCTTTTTTCCTCATTTGAAAATTTCTTCAAGTTATTATAACTTAGAATAACGACTAAAATCTAAGAATTAGACTTTATTGTAATAGCACAGAAGACAAGAGAAAGAAAAATGGAAGTAAATTGTTGTGTCTTTCTTAGAATATGAGTAAGTAGGGCTCAGCAAACTCTAGCCTGTGGGCTTGGAATTTGCTTCGGTAAATAAAGTTTTATTGGAACACAACTATATCCATTTCTTCAATTGCATTATCTGTGGCTGCTTTTGGACTGCAGTGGCAGAATTCAATAGTTGTGACAGAGACCATATGATGTGATCATCTAAGTATTTGCTGTCAAATATTTAATAAAATATTTGCAGAAATATTGCCTGCCCTCCAGCAGCCACTGGAAAAAAAAAGAGCAGGGGTGTATAGCACAACAACAAAATCAAATGTAATTAAAAATGCTCAGTTAATCCAAAAGAAGGTAGGAAAAGAGACACAGAGGAACAAAGAACAGATAAGACAAATAGAACATGAATACCAACTTGGTGAGTTTAAATATCACCATATCAATGATATCATTAAATATAAATGGACTAAATATATTAATTAAAAGGTAAGATGGTTAGAGGACTTAAAAAAGTAAGCTCAAATCTAATAAAAATATAAAGGCACAGAGTTGGAAAGTAAAAGGATGGCAAAACACACCACATAAGCACTAATCATAAATGTTATTTGAACTCACTATCATTAGAGACAGAAAAAGAAATTCCTAATGATAAGAGTGTCAGTTTACCAGGAAGAAATAACAGTTCTAAATGTTAGTTAATACAGCAGTTAATGATAGAGCTATAAAACATATGAAGGAAAAACTGACAAAACTGAAAGGAGAAATGGAAAATCCCACAAATTGTTAAGATCACACTCATTTCTGAATAAACAGATTTATAGAACAAGTAAACAGAAAACTTATAAGAATATAAGAACACTTGAACATCCCTGTCAAACCAGTCTAACTATCACTTATAGAATTCTTGTACAGTAGCACAGAATACACATTCTTTTAAAATGTACATGGAAAAATGTATTTGCTGAATTATAMTAGGTCATAAAGTAAATATTGATAAATTTGAAAGGATTGAAATGATGTAAAATAGTACCTTAGGTCTCAAGGGAATTAAATTAGAAATCTGCAACAAAAAATCTGGAAAGTCCCCAAATGTTTGGAAATTAGATCACACACTTCTAAATAATATAAATCACAAAATA